ATGAAAGCAATACTTACTTTGGAACGAAATGTTCTACCTAATTTTAGCATACCTAAATCATGACGATGGGTTTGATTGAGCTAGCAAAAGATCGAGGGTAGGTAAGAGAAGAGTATTGGGCAAATGGAAATGTGAACACAGCTATTAAAATTTCCTGGAAATGTAAAACATTCCCTACGCCGAACAGAGGATATCTCGGCATATTTAATGCCAGTGCTGCAAGCATAGAGGGAAAAAGGGCAAACATCCTGGCAATACCCAGCCGACTCTGAGACTTCGTCTGTCCATGGAATTCTTTCCATTAAGACACTCTGCAGCATTTTGCCATTCACTTAATAAGTTCCCATCAGCAAAAACACGTCGGTTTGCTATCCTGGCTCCAAAATGGTGGAATGAGCTCCCCATTGACATCAGGACAGCAGAAAGCTTCCACATCTTCCGGGGGAGACTGACAACTCATCTCTTTCGACTCCACTTCGAGCGATACAATTACTAACAAATAATTAGTAACAAAGCACTTATATACTAATAAAGGACTAGCTTATCTAAAGCCAGTTGAGTAGCACTTGAAATGTTTTAGCTCTATGAAACCTAATGTACTTATATGATTTGGTTTTCTTCAAGTTTGTATCTTCTTGGTCGAACGCTCTTATTGTAAGTCGCTTTGGATAAAAGCGTCAGCTAAATGCAATGTAATGTAATATTAACCGTCGTGTGTGGCTTGAGATTGCTGGGATGAGGGTAGGGGGGTCAAGTCCCGCTCTCTTTGTGCCCCACTTTGGTGACAATGAAGCACACAGTGATGATGGTGGAGATGTCGGTATAAAGGCTTTATTCATCTGCTGTGGCTGGTCACAAAGAGGCAGATACATCAGATCACAGGATTCTGGATGAAGGGATGGAGGAAGAGCGAGTCAGGACAAGCATAGTGACACTCGAGAATTTCGAGCTGTTGTATTTGAAATGAGACATGGCCTTGATACTCATGCATGTGTCATGAGTACCCTTCTATTTTTTCCTTACTCGTGCATCTGTGTGTATTCATGTACACGGCCGAGTTCTTGGAGTCATAGCGAGAACCAAGAGGAGGTTTTCATTAACCTACAGCAGAGAGAGGGCACCATCTTGACTTGCTGCCCTCCTGGTACTGTATTATAATGTTCTGCGCCTATTTGCTCTGCATCATGCCTGACAAGATGAGAACTCTCTTATTAGTGAAATGGGCTGCTTTACAGGTGCTTGCTGGGTCAACTGTTCCAACCAGCGACGCGTTTAGCTGGGTAGTTGATGGTGAACATTGAAGGAACATCCACGATCAATCCCACATTGGCCATGTTATTTTGTTGGGCGAGATATTTCCGTGTTATTGCCGTTTTCGAGACCATTTAAAGAGCAACTTGCAGGTTTTTCTTTTTAATAGATTTATGCTTAACCTTGCCTGAAAATTACAATTAAAAAAGTTAATGCAGGATTTGATATGTTTTACAAGACATAAGGGCAGGAATTCAGAGGAAAAGGAGCCGTTTTGAGCTCTGCTACTAAAAACTGCTTTTTTTTAACGTCATACTGTACATCAAATGCGTCATATTACGTCACATGGGGGAGCAACTTTCTCGGACTCGTTCTCTGCCCAATCCGCGGTAGTAGTTTGTAGTAGTTGTGATTTAGTGAGCTGGTATTTTTTCGGTAATGTTACATTGCATTTCACCATTTTTAATCATGGTGAGCTGGAGTTTGTGCAGGTTGCACAAACTCCAGCCTGGCAGGACATCGAGTCCACAGTTTCCCTCACAGGAAAAGGACCAGAGTTAGCTTTTGTTCCTGGATGCGTTGTGCGAGGTGCATCCACCTCCCTGCAGCACATACTCTCCACAGCTGAAGCCTATCAAACAAAACGTTTATCAGGAAACCATATTACATCTCTCTCCCCCCTTCGCTCCTCTCTCCCCCCCTTTGCTCCTCTATCTCTCTCTCCCCTCCGGTACACAGCACCCAGAGTCATATAATATGGCGGTGACAGCACCGTAAGACGTAGTGTGGAGTTGCATTAGGTAACGCGAGATACGGCTGATACTTGCGCATTAGTTTCTGTTATGGATCAGTATCAATAGTCCTGCCAGTAACGTTACTATATTATCAATACTACTTTAGTTATAGCCTGATATATGATAGCTAACTTTACAATGTTGTGATGTGACCGACGTTAGCTAACAGCTGTCTTTAGCTAACGCCGGTCACTCACCAAGACAGCTGCTCTGTTCTCCACTGGTTCTCCACACACCAAAGCTCCATTTCTCGCCGATGGCCGTTATTTCTTCTAATCCTTGGCTGCTCCTGGTCTCTTGGACGCCTAGCAGGCTCATAATTACAATCATATGCATTTGAATATATACTTTCAACCTCTTCTGTGTCAAAACTAGCATTGTGATCCATGTTTATTACTACGTTAGACCGACCGCTCTCCCCCATGTTACGTCACACGCGGGAGGTCACGTGGGCAGGCCCGCCTTAACCTGCCCTCAGGCCCTGGGGCTGATGTTTTGTAGGCCCCCTATTTATTTATTTTATTTTTTATTTTGTTTATTTATTTATATATATATATATATATTTTGTATTGTATTTAAACAACAAATCAAAGTCATTTATAGCCTCGGCAGGCTCTGTGTAGACCCTCCAGAAAAACGCGGGCAAAAATCCTTGATTATGCGGGCTAAAATCCTTGATTATGCGGGCTAAAATCCTTGATTATGCGATTAAACATGCAGGGTTTTTATGTGATTTTATGCGCTGAAATTGCAAAATATGCGGAAAGTTGCGAAAAATAATAGATTTCTTTTTAAATATTGGGCTGTCTTATTTATTCTCTCTCACACAAAACCTGCCACTAACGTTAAACCCCTTTCCTATTCAATTAAACACATTCAATGTTTATTTATTGTAAAAGCAATTGGGCTATTTTAATCACTCTCTCACACACACACACACACACANACAAGCCAGGGAAGCGTGCATGCGACCCTGGCGTAATCATTGATTAAGCTGTTTTTAAAATGTGTGGAACAGTGTTGTGTCACTTCAAACTCTCCGTGTCATTGATTGGATAAATTGGCGGTCTTATGTTGTATGTCATCGCGCCCATTAATATGTCCAGTGAGACGAATAACGGTTCCAATTGACCGGGAGTAGTATCCCATGCTTAATTTGTGTCCAAAAACCGGAGCCATTCACTAGCCCCATTTCGGTGTAACAAATAGTCTGTAGGTTACGTCTGCTTCCTGTCAGATCAGGTCGTATCAGTTGTGACCTCACGCTAAGCCTTTACTTGGCTGGTAGACTAGTACCAATATTCTAATTTTATACTTGTGTGTTTCTACTTGCTTATAGACCACACACTTACACTAACCTGCCGCCCATGCGCCTGTAGTACTGCTGCCTGTTGTGCTGATATTAATAAGTTAAGGAAATCAACCACTACCAAGAATCTTGTGTTGCTCTACCGACCACCCCACAGTGAAAGTCACTCCGAGTGAATACCTTCCATATACAGCTCCTACCGAATCCCATTCAATGAGCGAACTCCATGAAAACTATCCTTTTTTCCCAAAATAACTGAATTGGTTTTCTTTTGTTGTCGACAAAGGGCCCTCTTTTCGTCATTTTCATGAGCTGAAGCTAAACATGACCACCGATTGGTCTAAGAGCTGAGTCTGGGCTTTCAGGCGAGGAGCCAAACGACACCACAGCCAAAGAAAGGGGTACGCTGAATTAGAAACCCAAGACAAACGGAGCACATAATGCGCGAAACAGATGCAGCACATAATCTGTTTTATGCTTGATTATCTTGTATTGTCAGAAGCACTGCTGTTCGAAAATGTAAAGATAAAGATAAAGTTTGAGCTGGAAAATCCTCAGCAATCATTGAGTAGTCTCGTTTGGGAACATTTTGCGCTTCTTGCAGTTACGTACAAGAATGACGCCCGACAAAAGACAGGTGGACAGAACCAAAGCTTTTTGATCGGCCAGTTGTTCAACTTAAAATTGGTTACGCCCGGCGTGGCAATACATCAACTTGCACACTCATTTGAAAAAGCATCACCCAAACGTGAATATCACGGTACCAAAAGAAAAGACTGAAGCTGCCCGGACCCCACTCCCACAAGCATTGAAGCCTCCACCACTCGCAAAAAGTTCAGACCGAGCCAAAGCTATTACAAACGCCAAATATCCTTATGTTGCCATGTTAGCTAGACCCTCCAGAAAAACGCGGGCAAAAATCCTTGATTATGCGGGCTAAAATCCTTGATTATGCGATTAAATATGCAGGGTTTTTATGTGATTTTTTGCGGTGAAATTGCGAAATATGCGGAAAGTTGCAAAAAATAATAGATTTGTTTTAAAATATTGGGCTGTTTTATTTATTCTCTCTCACACAAAACCTGCCAGTAACGTTAAACCCCTTTCCTATTCAATTAAACACATTCAATGTTTATTTATTGTAAAAGCAATTGGGCTATTTTAATCACACACACACACACACACACACACACACACACACACACACACACACACACACACACACACACACACACACACACACACACACACACACAAACACAAAAAACGCTGTGCTATTGTCTAAGATGTAAGCCAACAGTAATTTCTGACATTTAGGGTTCCTTTGATCGTAATATCACAACATCTTTCATATGCAGCTTATTTATGTGAGCTCATATCAACAGCTGCAGGCTGAAGAAAAGGAAAGAGGATTTAAGAAAAGACGCAAAGCAGCAGTAAGCAGCTGAAGGGCTTTGAGATACATTCATTTCATACATTCAGTTTATTGGCTCTGCGATTAAGTATTCAGTGCCTGGAATTTATATACAGTCATGTTGTGATTAATGTGCTTGCAGTGCACTCATGTGTGTCTTAGTGAAATGCTTCCTGGCTGTCTCTCTGATGTTTATCTGTGGAGTGTCCCATCTTCCTTTCTGTTCTGTTTTTCAGCAAACACCACAAGGATCTTTGAGGGGACGAGGATCGTGAAAACTGGGATGGTAAGGATAGCAGACGTGAATCACTGCTATTGTCTTTCCATGTCTGGTCCAGCAGAGAGCGGTGTATTAGCATTATTCTCCCCTGTGTGGAAAGAAAGGTCTCAAAGTGAATTCACTATTTTTGTTCCAGCATTTCTGTCTGTCCTGGGAGAGGGATCCCTCCTCTGTTGCTCTCCTCGAGGTTTCTCACATTCCTCCCCATTAACTGTGGGGTTTCTTTGGGAGCTTTCCTTAATGTTAGGGTCTAAGGACAGAGGGTGGGGTATTCATATTCTGAGACAAGTGGAACATTAGTGATATTGGTCTATATAAAAACACTTTGATTAAATGATTGGCAGTGGTTACAAAAATAGGATAAATGGATTTTAATTCCCAAATGTAACAGTATAGAGTGTTCCGCCTCAAATGTACTTTAACAGTTTTGACACCTCTGTCAATAATATTAATGTCGACTGAACACAACAGAGAATGTCAAATACTAATCCCTTAAAGTTTGTTTCTCAGCCCACCGTGTCTCCAGCCTCCTCAGCGGACATGGCCCCCATCTCCTCCGGCTCGTCCACTTGGACTTCCTCAGGAATCCCCTTCTCCTTCGTCTCTATGGCGACAGGAATTGGCCCGTCCTCCAGCGGTAGCCAGGCGACAGTGGCCTCGGTGGTGACCAGTACTTTGCTGGCTGGCCTGGGCTTCAGTGGCGGAGTGATCTCCTCCTTCCCCAGCTCTGTTTGGCCGAGCAGAGCACCATCCAACAACCCCCCCTCCGCTCGCCACACCTCTGAACCTAACAAACCCACCAAAGATGCTTCTGCCGTCACCACGGCTGCACACACAGATAACAGCAAGGCCGGGGGGAAGGACAGAGAGAACAGCAAATGTCAAGGAGAGGACGGAGAGAGGGAAGGAGAGGATAAGGATGAAGAGGAGGAAGAAGAAGAAGAAGAAGAGAAGGACAAGAAGAAGGGGAGGAAGGGATCAGGAGGTATGGGAGCAGCAGGGAGGAAGGAAAGCAGGACAGCGGTAAAAGAGACGCCCAGCGAGACACCAGACGCCACTGCAAAGGAGAAAGAACCAGATCTAATGAACACGCCTCCTGATGAAGATACCCACCTGGAGGTGTACACCCACAATCTGCTTGAGCCTCACACCCCCACCCCCTCAGTGGCAGCCGTTCAGTCAGCAGAGCCCCCCGCCCTGAAGGACCCGGCAGCCACACGCAGACCCAGCCCAGGGGGGGACAGGAAGCACAGGCCTGTCTCCATCCACACTGGTGAGCCCCTTCTCTGCATGTCTGAAACAATTAGCATGATCATCTGTAGAGCGACATCATGACAGGAGGAACTACTAATTGTATTACTTGTCCAAATACAGTAGTTGGGTGATGCTGGCTGACATCTGTTTGATGGAAACCAAGTATCTTCTAACATAAATACAAAATAAAATAACTGGATAAGGTCCTCAGGAGTACGTACCAAGCGCTCTCCTGTTACGGTACATACACACAGTTCCGTTGTGTTCTTCAACGGAGACGCTTCCCATTCACTTTAAATGGGGTGAACTGCATTGTGGTCTGTCGCGTTACATTGCCTCAGTTGTTTGCTTTGAAATTTGAGAAAAGTTCAACTTTTCAAGCGTCGCCAGCCAAATCAAATCATATGCCAGTACAAGCGCTAACCAATCAAACCGCGTGCTTGCGTGTCCGGGGCGGGAGATTAATGTGGTTGGTCCCTCGCCAGACAATCCCACCGACAAGCTTCAGCGCGACTGAACTGTGTGGATGATACGTTAGGGTTCCGATATGAAAGCGTGCTTTAAAATAAAATCATGCAAGATTTGATCATTTAAAATAAGAATGGACCTCTGAAGGAAATGTGAGGTAACACTGACAAAACAGACAGTGTTGGAAGGAGCTCAAATTGGTAAGGCGGATCGTGAGACATGTCTTTTTTGTGAATAAATAAAGTACAATCGATTTGACAGAGTAATAAACTCTCATCAATGTTTCCTAACATCCCGAAAAGTACAATCATATCCACTTTTTCTGCTCTCTTGTTTCAGTGTAAAATAACAGGGAGATGTATGAGAGTGGCTGCTTTGATCACAATGTCATTCTCTCCACTCTTATCTCCTGGACATGAGAGACAAATGGCTATGCAATTAGTGTAAGATTAAGATCAAGAGGTAAAACATGTAAAGCACCAGCTGGTTCAGGAAATGTATATGGACTCAGCAAATGAGTCCAAACCAATCTCAGTTTTTTATAAAAACTGGGAATAAACATAAGCATACCAACCAACACCCTGACTATTCATATTTTCTTTCGTTAATCCTTGTACTACAAAAAATTATATGATTTTTGTGATGGAAACTTCTGGAGTATATTAGACGAAACTCAGGGAGACATGAGGAGAGCTGGAGCTTGATGGCAAACACTGATGGTACAGGCCCGCCTTAACCTGCCCTCAGGCCCTGGGGCTGATAGCTTTTGTAGGCCCCCTATTTATTTATTTAATTTTTTAATTTTTTTATTGTATTTAAACAACAAATCAAAGTCATTTATAGCCTCGGCAGGCTCTGTGATCGCACACAACACACACACACACACACACACACACACACAC